TGCTGCAGCTGCTCGGGGGGCCCTGCCGAGGGCTCAGCACAGGTGTCTGGAGCTGGAATTCAAGGTTCTGGCACAGCTTTTATTTCAGGGAGAGGAGTTCCTYCTTCTCCAAAACAATTCAGTTCCAGCTGGTGAAATCACCGCGTTTTCCTGCTGACTTTCAGCAAATCAAAAGCAGGAGGAGTGAGTGCATGCCCGGAGTGAGGAGCAGCACGGAGCCCAAGCCAGGCTTTACGCACAACTTTGTGTTTTCGTGGCCATGAGCAGGAAACTTCACATCACCAGAACAATGCAGCGCCCGGGCCTGACCTCCCCCAGTGCCACAGCCACCCAAGCACCTCTGAACTCTTCCAGATGTTTGAAAAGCACCAGGAGAATTTCCAATCAAAGCCTTTTCACCACTGGATATTGCAGTGGGAGCCTGGCTGTTGCTCGGGGTAATTTGGGAGAGGAGCTGTCACTTTGGATTTCATTTTCTTGCCTTTCTTGGAGCGTGTGCGGGAGCTTTTCCACAAAACAAGGGCTGAGTTTTCTTGGAACCTTCGGGCTCATGAGGTAAATAATGATCCAGATGTGGGCTGGATAATCCAYGTGGTGCTCGGCTAAAGAGGGTTATTTATTGCACCATCCATTTTTAATGGCTTTATTAAACTTTATCAATTTGTTGGGATTGAGGGTTAAGAATTTAAGCCAAGCTATTTATTAACCTGGGAGAAACCCTCACCTGGCAGTGCAGGCACGTGCAGGAGCAAAACCATGCAGAGATGGGAAAGAAAATTACACTTGAGAGCACCCTTTGTGTTCGGTTTAAAAAGTCAATGATTTCTTAAAGATATTTTAATAATGGGGCTTAGGAAGGATCTKAGATTGAATAAAGAAAAGGCAACAATAGAAATGTTAAACTTGTTGCAAGACTCATCCCCGAGGGCTAAGCCAGAGTCACAAAAAAGCTCTGGAGTGGCAAAGGTTCAGGAAAAAAGGAGAAAAGTTTCTATCACTGGAGGCCAATCCTGCACCCACAGCAAACAAAACTGGGAGAGGTGAATCCCACTGGGGGTCCTGGGCAGGACCTGCTCCTCCTGGGCTGGTTCTGGCTCCTGGCTCTGGGTAAAGCCTGGCAAACCTTGGGCTCAGCCTTGGGCTCAGCCTTTGGCTCTCTGGGCACCTCTGACACACAAACTTTACACCAGGGGAGCTCCTCCGAGCCTGTTTTAACAGAGTTTATTCCAGGGCTAAGGCAGAGGGGTGCCCTGAGCTGGCACAGAACTGTGGGGTGTGGAGGAGGAGGGTAAGGAGCTATAGGATGAAGAACAAAGGGTCACAGAACCACGGGGTATAGAGGAAAAGGAGGGTATGGAACTGTGGGAGGCAGAAGAAGAGGGTAAAGGGACCATGGGATGTAGAGAAGGAGGAGTTATGGAAGTGTGGGAGGCAGGAGAGGAGGGTGAGGATCCATGGGATGAAGAACAAGGGATCACAGAACCATGGGATGTAGAGAAGGAGGAGTTATGGAAGTGTGGGATGCAGGAGAGGAGGGTAAAGGGACCATGGGGTAAAAAACAAAGGGGTCACGGAACCACAGGATGCAGAGAGGAGGAGTGTATGGAAGTGTGGGAAGCAGGAATGGAGCTGTGGGAATGCAGGAATGGATCTCTGGGGCCATGGGGATGCGGGAATGAAGCTCTGGAATGCAGGAATGGAGCTCTGGGATGCAGGAATGGAGCTCTGGGATGCAGGAATGGAGCTCTGAAGCTCTGGGATGCAGGAATTAAGCTCTGGGATGCAGGAATGGAGCTCTGGGATGCGGGAATGGAGCTCTGGGATGCAGGAATGGAGCTCTGGAGCTGTGGGGATG